CTCTCTCTCTCTCTCTTTCAGTCCGTTCCTACATGCCAAAGTGAGGGAAGTGTTGTCGGACTGCGCCCTGCCGATCTCGGTGCTCTTGTTCTCCTTCATCGGCTCCTACATTTTCAGCGACATTGAGCGTTAGTACAATTTGTTGCTTAACCAGATGCTACAGAGTGCATTTTCATGCTACATAAAACAAACACAACCACAATATTGTTTTCTTTTTTCTGTTTTCATCAGAGATATAACTACAGTTTTACATCGTAAAGAGGTTTAACATGCACTGTGGGTTAGGGTGGACTTACTAAACTGTGACCTAAAAATCTGGACAGTTTAGTGTAATTAGGTACTTCGTCATTCTAAAATTACAACAGAAACAAAAATTTTAAAAAGAAATGAGCAAGATTTACAACCAGAGTTTGTGTGAAGTTAACTTTTATTTTGATACTTTATATTTGTAGATTTAAAGCATTTAAATGTAAAATGCATAGATATTTTGTAATAATGACAACAGGCAATGTAATAGTTCCCATTTTACTGTATATGACCATGGCCCTTGTAATGACCATATCCATGACCTTAGTACTCCATAGAGTTGCACAGAAGGGGGAGATGATAGCTAGCTTTTATTAACTTTTATTTTCTTGGTACCCTCGATATTTCTCAACATAGAAACACACCAGTCTTTTGAATAATTTAATGATAATGTTGTCAACAACGACAACAACTTTTGTTGTCGACATCAACTTTAACTATCTCAACTCTTAAATTATATCTTATCTTATAATATTGTTTTTTCTTTGATATAGTGGATCTTTCTAAATACTACGATACCCATGAGTGTCAGCCGCTGTTGCTATGGTGAAGAAGTCACCAAAGGTGTGAATCAGAGCTGTTGCAAATTCAAGATGTTTTGTATAAATTTGTTGTAATTTGGAAAAAATGCCTACCATAGTTGCCAAATTCGTCAAAAAGTGACAAATAAACAATCCCAAACTGAATCCATTTAAGCTGCAGATTGTGTTATCGCGTGTCTGTGATTGGATGTTTCTTATAGAAATGCCCATTGGGGGTCGTACTAAACTTCCATCCTTACTTTGCTGTACCTTTGACTGTTTATCAAAGAAACTGATATTGTATAACGCAGAAGTTCACCTTTCGAGTTTCATGCCTATCCAAACATTGGAAATGCTACAATTGTCCATCACCATCATTGCCTATGCAGAAATGTACAGAACATTAATTTCAAGACGCCCAAAATATCTCCTCCCAAGTGGTAACTAACACCACATGCACGGGCATATATGTTTTCTCAGAGTTTTTTAATGAATGATGAAGTGATTAGCAGTTGTGTTTCTGTGCTGTAAACGAGGGCAAATGTGTCTGAGGAAAGACAATTTTAAACAATTCAAATACTCTGGAGTCTAAGCACAGGATTTGGTAAGGTAACAGTTTAACAACATTGCTTTAAATATGAAAAATGAGTGAAAGTGAGTGTAAAAGAAGTTGTAAATGTTTGCTCGTCAGTTGTTTTGAGACAGTGCAGTATTGTTTGGGCTATATTTACACTTTAGTGTTTTGGACTCTGGTCCAAACCTGCTGAAGGGCTCAAACTTATAGGCTGTTTACCTCCAAGACAGGCTGTCTAACTGCGAGGCCTCCCTTATTTGGTGCCTTTATTGTCTTTTTATGTTCCTTAATCAAGGCACAGGCCAAAACACATTGGAGATTCTCGGTTTTTATCCTCTATTGTTTAGCATCATTTTGAATCTCCATTCATTGTTGCCAAGGCAGCAGCTGTTCTCCTGGGGTCGACACAGAAACGCAGAGACAAGCGCCAAACCCTCAAGTGAATTTAAATTTAAGTGCCCGGACAATTTTCTGTTCCTTTACCTCCAGAGACAATAAGTCATAAGATAATAGACCCATTATTGTATTGTCATTTCTTCCTAAATTTAACCAACTGCACTTAATTCAGCAGCATTTGAAGGGGGTACAGCCCTAAATGAGATATCCAGCATTTGAAAAATCCAGCCACTCATAGAAAATGATTGTTGGTGTGAAAACATGAGTCATCCTAACAGTTTGAGAGACAGTTATGTTTGTGAAGATGGAATCTGATGAGTTTTGGAAGTGCTAATGGTAAGTTTAAGGCAAAAGTATCATATCATTGTTTAAAGTTCACAAAAGAAACTTAGCTATTATACAGATGTACTCAAGTAGGTCATGTCCTTAGCTGCAGTTATCTAACAAAGTAAGAACGCATACATTTGAGTAAAATTTCACTGTTGAATTAAACTCATAATTATAATAAATGCTGCAGCCAAGGATTCTTTTTATTATCAGCTAATCTGCAGATTATTTTCTTGGTTTATTAATGTTTTGTTTTGTCCATAAAATGTCAGAAAGTAGTGAAAAAGACAGATCACAATTTTCCAGAGCCAAAAGTGACGTCCTCATATTTCTTATTTTGTCAAACCACACTTAAAAACCCCAAAATATCACATTTACTATCAACAAATTGATAACAATTTTGCAGAGCTGGACTTTTCGCTTCAGTTGTTAAGCCTGAAAAATGACTAAAATTATGAATTTTGCCAGAGTTGCCATGCTTTTCTGGTGATCGAATAATTGATATTTGATTAATTATTTCAGCTCTAATTGTCATTTTTTTCCTTTCCTTCTTTGCACAGTTCCAGTCTTCAAAGTTCACGACCGACCCGTCTTCAACGTGGCTCCGTTCGAGCGCCTGTCGGCTATGAACGTTGTCAGCGCCATGGGCCTCGGCTTCCTCCTGGCCCTCCTCATCTTCATCGACCAGAACATTGTTGTCTCGCTGACCAATGCACCAGAGAACAGGTAGGGGCAAAGAAGAGTTCATATACAGTTATATACAACGCAACTTATTACTTTTTTGGTCTTATATACAACTTTATTCACAATTACAAAGCTGCCTCAACGGTAGGGAAGGATGATATTATCTAGAGTGAAACCTGGGATACTAATTATTTTGCATTAACTGGCTTAAACTCTTTCTGTGACCCTTCCAAAAGTACCTTTGGGGATCCTCTGACCCTGCTTTTGGGATCTGCTGAAACTAGATATTTGCCGGTCTGTTAGGAAGGGAAGATTAACTGAGCCAGAAACTTGACATCTGAGTCAAATAGTCACAGTCAGGGAGCTCTGAAGAAGCCTCAGAGCCAAAACACGATGTTGAGCTTTTACCCTGTTCTTCTGAATTTGCATTGGACAGTTAGAGCCATCAGCCATCAACCAGCCCTACAGTAAAAGTCTATAATGATCAAATTTCAACCCCTTATTATCTACATTTATTAGACATTAATGAATTGAATCTAAATGTCACTGGAAGGCAAAACAACAGCTGCTATAGCATAAAAATTGTGATTTCCAAGAGTATTCATCAGCTCAACACTATTTTCATATTGTTTTATGAATTGTACTGTTGTGATCTTGTTTCCTCTACACACAAAAAAATCAAACTGATATAAAATAAAAGACTCATGTTAGCTGTAAGTGGTGTAACATCAGTAAAAAGGTTGGTAAACACAGTTTGCTATATTTACTCTTCACTACATCCCTCATGTGTCACTGACAAAAGGACAGGAGCTGGACAGATTTGTGGCTATTTTTGTTCCTGCTTCTGTCCTTCGATTCTTTTATCTAGTGCATTCCTTTATGTGGTTGATGTCTTTTTTTAGTCTGGAAATAAGATGTTTATTGAACCATTTCGACCTTCTTCCACCTAGCGCAGATATTTGATCTTTTCGAATCTCTTTTTTCTGTTCTGCCATTATTTGTTTAATAAAAATATCTGTCATTATTATGCAAATAAACACACACTAAACAGTCCTTTAACCTAATAGTTTCTCATGCTTTTTGGCTGAAGAAAAATAGGTGAAAATAAAGCTTGATAACCAGTTAGTTAGATTTATGCTTAATGCATTTAAGTCTGTATGCAGAAGGATTTACAGCTCGTGTCAATGTCACGCTCAAGGGCACATCAGCAGGAAACACATCTGCTGATCAGTATGAGCGGTGTGTCGATATTTCACTAGTCTACCCTCACAGCACCTTGTCACAGTTTTAGGATGAACCCTCCCAGAACACACACACACACACA